AACCGCACGGCACGGGAGCCACTTAGGACAGTGAAGGAAGCCGATTCTTAGACCATCAACTAGATATTACAATAATGACAATCGTGCTCAAGTTCGAAAACTACAAGAACGATCTCCCACGGAAGTATAAACCGGACGCAGTCGCGCCGTCTCTATTCTAAGCCTAGACTTCATCTTGTCACCTTGCCAAGCCAAACAATAACGATGAAAAGAGCCTTTTCTTGAACCGTTAACTAAAGCCGGAGAAACACACACTGGAGAATGTTTTTTGGGGCCACACTGAAGGCTGTACCAATGAAGTAATAGTGACGTGTAAACAAATGCAGGTGAATAACTCTGAATTTATCACCTCAATGAAGCCACAAGAGGTCGTCACCAAAAGAAGCTCACGGCAATCTAAACCACCGCACAAGACCTCAGCCCAAAGTCACAAACAACAGCGGGGATAACGCAGACGACAAAACCAGTCGCCACCCGTGAGGATTGAAGAAACTATCCCCTCAGTTCGTTGAAGTTTCCGAAGCCAAAGATGGCCCGAATAAACCAACACCGAGAGGATGGAGAAGCCATCCAAATCCAACATCTCAACCCAAATGGGCAAAAGACCAACACAAACAGAGAAGGAGTAACGGAGAAGCTAGCCACCGCGCAATACTTCTCCCACCGATGCTGCCGGAAAAGCATTGCCGCCGCGGAATCCCTAAAATCAAAATCCTCACCGTCGTGTGCATAAGATGTACCCAGAACTCTCACCACCACAAGAATCGAAGACTGCAGAAGCAACACCGTCGAAGAACTCGAGAACCGGCGGGGACTAAAGATGTCCATCACCCTTCCGAGTAACCCGAAGTCAAAGAGCTTGAGACGAGATCCGGTTAGATCTCAATAAAGAAGCCGAGTCGCCAGAAGTCCTTTCCCGGAGCAAACCACCACGCCGGTGAAGAGCCACCGCGAACAGCCTTTCCAACACTGAGCATTAAACGAGGAGAGGAGTTTGACCAATAGCACCAAAGGAGAACCGAGTCGCGGTGGATTCGAATCCTCAAAGGACGGAGAACCAAACCACGTAGGCGGACGTCGCTCCACCGCCGGATTTGACCTACTCAGCCGCCGGAATCGAATGGGAAGAAGGAGGATCTAACAAGATCTGAGGTTGGACGAAAAAAACGTGAGGCCTGTGTCGGGTTTAGCTGTGCCCCGCCGATGAAGCTTCGCCATCGTCCGGCTAAGGAACGAACGGCGGTGCGACCCAAGCACCGCGGCCGTCGCGTTCAACCTCCTCCGATCCCCCACCGAACTAAGCTAACCAAACTGGAGAAGAGGAAGGAGAGAAAGACAGAGCGGAAAACAGAGAGCAAACGATAGGTGATGGCCCTCTCACAGCGGCGGTCTAAACCGACGCCGGAGAGGCGAGATTTCGATGCCGGCGGTTTGAACCTTTCTAGGTTTTTTGGGAGAGATGAAGGCTCGCGCGTGAGCCTAACGCGTCTTACTCTCTTTTAATTATATTTTCTGTCATATTTTTTTTTTTTCATATTCCCATTTCATCTAAAATATATAAACAAAAAAAGTTTGTTTTCTGTTGTCATATATTTCTGGTGTTAAAAAACAGAAATTCAAGTTTTAGTGAAGAGCTGTACCGCAAAAATAATTTGACTTTTAAGGTCATGCACAAATAGTGGTGTATACATCTAACAGGCCAATTCTATTACGTTGATCTTTCTTATTGTATTGAATGTTGATGCTTTATTAGTTACTACATGCATTCGTTATAAATTATAGGGGTCTATTTGATAATAATTATTTGTGGAGAATAATGTGTGAACCAAAGAATGGACTTTTTTTTGTTTGGTTACAAAAGATGTTTGGTCACAAAAGAAGGGACGTTAGCAGTCTTAAAAAAAAAAAGTTTCAAAAAAAAAGTCTTTTATCATTTTGTTCAAAAAAAAAAAGAAGTCTTTTATCACTGAATATTAGAAACTCAGGCACACAAAAAAAAAATTAAAGTCAGTTGACGTAGACTTGGTGCAAAGACCGAAGAACAAACGTTAAAGGCATATTCAATATTGAGAAATTTCTTTTGAAGAGATTTTACTCAGCAGACAGAAAGACCGCACTTCCAAAATCGTCCAGCATGTAATACCATGCGTACGCACAAGGTATTTTTGTTTTTTTGGCCCAAATGAAATTGAACTTTTTAACATGTTTTTAGTGTTTAAAATTTTAAGATATAGGGTTTAAACACAATATTTGCTAAACTGCTAACACTCTCACAAAGAGACTGACGTTTAAACACTAAAAAAGAAAACATTACTTTTTACATTTTTTTTGAAAAATCAAGTAAATCTATTAATTATTTAATTACTGCATAATAATGCATAACTAGATAATTTCCCCCCTATAAGTTATACGCGGAATAATATGATTAACAAGTAAAATCAATAAAGTTTTGGTTATTAAAAATTATCTATAGTTATAGAAAAAATATATATAAATTGAATCTTGGAGAAATTGCAAAAATAACATTTTTTATGTGCTCATTTGTAAAAATGTCACTTAGGGGTGTTTATTTGCAAAAATGCCACT